TAGACAAAAAATCATTTACCTGAAGCTCAAGCTGGAAATAAAAATGGACACATTAAATATGTCGATCGAATATTGAGCAAAGTTTACAAGAAAATAGAATAAACTCTATTCTATTACATTCTGTTCAGCAGCATAATGCCAATGATCATAGTTGTCGAGGTATTAACTTAATAAAAAAAAAAGATGATTTATTATACAGCGCTATATTCCACATTTTTTACGGATAGCAACTGAACAATAATCTAATATTCATAATTATGATGAAGAGCGTGTGATAATTTTATTATTACAAAATGGCCGACGAACATTGAACTATAGACGATTTATTACTTTTTAGGGGAACAAAAGCCCATTTGGTGGGATAAGACTATGGAAATGTGCCAAAAATTCCATTCTCATCGTTCTTTACATTTTCGTAAAATGTATTAAATCAAAAATATATATTCCATTGCAGATAGTAATTCCATGAAATGAGGCTGCAGATACAGTAGCACGCGAGATAGCATCGTCATCTGAAACTGGATTTGCCAAAATTATATCCACTACAATTTTGACAACTTTCTTAACAAATTAATACAACAAAAAAGGCAAATCGATTGGAAGCAAAATTCATCAAACCTTAAACTTTCTAATCCTAAAATCACCGATGAATTGGTGACAATGGACAACTTACTCCAATGGACAACTTACAGTAAAACATATTATGTTGGAAAAAAACGAGATATAGGGTGAGGTGGGGTAATTGGACCATGATTTTACAACAAATCTGCGTTCGTCTCAGATTTTTTAGCTACTTAATGATCAAAGTATAAGTGAATTTTAACTATATGTATAAAAACATGACCTCCATTTAATACTATTTAAATGTATTAAACCTTAATTTAATTGAAGGTATTAAAGTAATAATAAAATAAATAATAAAATTGTACATACGGTGGGTCCAGTTACCTCAATTAACAGGGGTAACTGGACCAGCCAGCCTAAAATCTCATAAGAGCTGGTATAAATCATTGTGGGCTATCTGGGCCTGATTGTATACCTTTACACTTTTCAAAGAAACCTCAAACATTCGTTTAAATTGAGCGGATCTGAAAGTAGACTCAATGCAAGGGTACCATCTCGTATAGCAGATAAGGTTTATGAACAAATTATACACAGTGTGCAGCTAAAAACTTGTATTTAATGCCATTACATTCAAGAGTTTATAAACTTACATTTAAAGAGTTAAAACTGAACAAATCAAAACTAAAATCTGAATGTATTCCTAAACAAAATTCTTCGTGAAACAAAAACTGCAAATTAAAAAATAAGATAAGTAAAGAAACGTTTATAATCTCATATAATGTCCCACAAATGCTGCATTTCTTTCACGTGAAAAAACCCTCTTTTAGAAATAATTTTTGGTTCTTCAATTGCACCAATAACGTCATCCCAATCGTATTTTCCAATATCTGCTTTATCTGGCCACTTCCATGACTTTAAAGATTTCTGCATCGATGAAATTTCAACCTGGTCATCGGTAAAGCTTAAGATCTTCCTGGAAAATGCTCTTCTTCATACTTAAAGATTACATATTCACCAACTTTTTTAACAATTTGTTTGAGGCCTAGTTGCTGAAAATCCCCACAGGTCTGCTCATCAATATTATTACAGAACATTTCAAATTTCTTCTCGCTATCTATATCTCTTTCATTTTCTTCTACAATATCTTGCAAATCAACATCATCACTACTTTCTGATAGACAATCAAAACTGTTCTTTTTCTTGTGTTTTAAAAAGTTTAGTGTAGGTCTATTTCGTTTAGCTTTCGGTATTGCCTTTCTTCTCATATTTTTGTTTTCAATTTTTTTCATTTTTTCTTTCTCCTCTTGTTTTTCAATTTTTTTCAGTTTTTCTTTCTCCTCTTGTTCTTTTTTTATTAGGTAATCTTTGCAGGTGATAATTTCACAGTTAGTGACCAGTCTTTTACGTTTCTTCTCTAAATTCTGTGTCTTTATCCTTTTTCATCATTTCTAACAACAACTCCTCAAATGATTTACGTGTTTGTGTAGGTCCAATTGGCGAGACAGGGCATTCTTTTTCTACTTGAACTTCGTTTGCAGAACTAGCTTCTGTTCTTTCGACCATTGCAAAGGTAGAGACAGATGTTTCTGGCTGCTCTATTATGATTAAAGCGTTCGAGACATCTGATTGTATCGTATCTGAAGAAGTATGGGATGCTTGTTGCCGTACATTTGGATAATTGTCGTCTTCCTGATTTCCTATAACAGGAGTCGCATCTGGTTGTCGTACTGCTGAAGATGTAGGCCTAGTGTCTTCTGATTGTACTGTGGCAGAGGAAGGGATAGTTACTGAGTGTTGGGCAGCCAAAGAAGCAGTAGCTTCCAAGTGTACTGTAGTGGGATCGGGAAGATTATTTTTATACCTAAGCAAATCATCTTTTTTGAATATTGATGCAGGAATTGCATCTCTGTTAGGACCTTGTTTATCGGCATCATAAATTCCTGTGGCTTTAAATCCATTAATAATATTAACACTAGGTATGTCATGTGCTAGCTTGGTTATCATTTGTACAAATATTTCTTTAGGAATTTTTTTGCGAGGATTTTCCCTCTGCCACTTACTGAGTGCCTTGTCCCAACTATTTTTCAGACCTCTAAAAACTGATACATCTAAGGGTTGTAATAACTGTGTCGTGTGTGGAGGTAACTTCATTATAGTAATTTCATTTTTTTGTGCTAATTTAATTAAATCTGTGGACACATGGGTAACATGGCCATCATATATTAATAAAATTGGTCTCTCCTTTGTAATATTAGGTAAAAAAACATCTCTAAACCAGTTAAAAAACAAAGTAGTTTCCATCCAACCTCGAGACGTTGTAGAAACTGCAGTTTGGGATGTTGCATTCTCATTAATCCAATTGTCCATTACATATTTACCTTTAAATACACAGAGGACAGGTATCATTTGACCATCAGCAGAACAACACAACAAAACAGATGTGTTTTCTCGGCCAGACGAACTGGTCTTCCGTATGCTTTTTGTACCAATTGCACCAACGACTTTTGTTTTACTAGGGTCGTGGCAAAATGACGTCTCGTCGCAATTAAATATCTTGTCTGGTTTTCCCTTAAGGTTTAGTTCTTGTATAGTTTTGTTTAATACTTCAAAAAAATTGTAGATGACCCAAGGGTTCACCTGATCGCATCTGACATGTTCAATAGTCCTGGGTTTCTTTATTGACAGATGGTGCCTAGTTTTAAATAATCTAAACCAGTCAGGACCTGGTCTCTGGTCTTTAAATCTAATCTTGATATTATTCTGTCTTATATACAGTTGTACTAAGTCTAATACTTCCTCTCTGGATAGGCCAAATCCATTTTTGTCCATAATTTTTATGCAATCTGCAATTTCTTTTTCCTCAAGAGACGACAAATATGACTTAACTCCTCCACCACCGTTACCTTCTTTTGAAGTCAGTCCAGTCCCACGCGTTCCTTTGACGCGATGCTTCAGTGTAGATCGTGGAATATTGTAAAATAATGATGCACCCCGTGTCGTCCTGATGCCATTTCTAATATCCTCAATTGCTCTATCAAGGTCTTCCGTGGCATATGAGAAGCCAGCACCTTTCTGAGTTTTTCTGATGTACGTTCGTACCATTTTCTGCAACAAAAACAATCTGATATAACCTAGGCTTTCAAAATTAAAGGATGGAAAAAATGTATAGGCCCTGAGGGGTAACTGGGCCAGCCCCTGGCCCAGTTACTCCCTATATGGGTCCCAGTTACCCCGAAAGAGTAAAGCTGTCGGGGTAACTGGACCACCCATTCTAACCTCAAAACTAATGGAATGAGCATACAAAACTAATTTAAACATGGTTAATAGTATACTAATCAACACTTTTACACTAAAAAACATGGTATAAACACTTACCTTGATCGTAAAAACAATAATGTAAATCACAAGCGCACCATGTTGATTTCATAAACAATAACTACGAATTTAAATTGATCTTCTCACAGCGACCAAAAGTACTAGAGAGGTTAGAGTTAATGTTTTGGAGGGAAGGCACATTCTTGCAGTACGGCCAACAGTAAGAAACTTAAATACTCTTCCAGTTTAAGATTGAAAAAGGTATGGCCCAGATACCTCCGGGGTCCAGTTGCCCCCTGTCACCCTATGTAGAGAAAAAATCTTAGAACCTACGAAGCTATTCAAAGAACTAAAATAATTAAAAGACATAATGTAATATTTAATAAAAATATAACGCAAATATCTGATATACCTACTACAATGTGGTAATAACAGTTTTTAATCTTTAGATTCCAATATTATGTAAATAAACATTTTATAACGATTTTTAATGTAATATACATATTATATAAATAATACAAATTATAACCTTAAGATACGAAGTATTATCTCTAAACTAAAAAAATTTTCCTCTTTAATAACTAAATTATAAGGAAGATATTATTTGTGTAAATAATAAATAAACAAAAAGACTTCCGATACCGGGAATCGAACCCGAGCCTCCTGGGTGAAAGCCAGGTATCCTAGCCACTAGACCATATCGGATATTAGTAAGTGAAATTAAAACTTCTACTTATTTCGTTGTACGTCAAGAACAATAAATATTGCAATGAAAATAATTTAACGTAAGTGGAAAAAAGTCGTTAGCTGTATTACCGGCTGGTCTGGCTGTTTACCATAATTAAAAAAAAAACTTACAATAAAGTGAAAAAATTCTGGTATAAAATGGTATATATTTAAAATATACCTAATAAAAAAATAAAATTTTCCAAACGGATTACAATTTCATCTAAATGTTTTTGATCTTATCAGATCATAATCAGACAGGTAGCAATTAAAAGCCACTTTTAAGGGAACGTACTGAAACCGAAACTACCTTTGAGTCTTGCCGGAGATTCTTCACTTCACTAAAGTTTAAAATAAATTTCTTAATTTATTAAATAATAAGCAACCTTTTTTAGGACTGGGGAAGTTTTAAATCGTACAATTACTTATGCAGAAATAACGGAGGAGGAAGATTTTTTCTTCGTTACTGACGTAAGAAGTACTAAATCCAAACACATTGTAAGTATCAAAATACCAAAAATTAAAATAACCATACATTACATAATATAACATATACAGTGTGGAAACCACTTATGGAATAATAATTTCTGTAATCATGTCCTTATTTTAAAAATAATAAAAAACGTAAAGATACCTTAACTTTTAAACTTAAATGTGTTCTTTTTAGACATAAATTTGAATGTACTGGGTAATCCACGCAAGTCTGGCATAGTCCATAATCTGTATTTTAAATGAAACACCCTGTATGTTTTTATGTATTTAAAAGCTCCTTAACAACCTGATCTCAACAAACTATATCATGTAGGGTCTATTATGAATAATACAAGGGGAAATTTTGAAATTAAGTATAATTTTTTAAGACAATTAATTCACAGAATACCCGAGGTAATTGATTGGATTACATTAAAATAAATGCTCAAAATGTTGTTGGCAACAACACAGTCTCCTATAAAACTCGTCCCGAACTTTATTTAAAGTTTGAGATGAAATATTCCGTATTTCTGTAGTTATCCCTTCTTTGAAGTATTCAATGATAGTTGGTTGTGTTGCATATACTTTGTTCTTTAGATAACCCCACAGAAAAAAATCCAAAGACGTAAGATCTGGCGACCTAGCTAGCCACTCAAAAGTGCCGCTTTGTCCAATCCATTTATTGAAGAAGATTTGATTTAAATAATTTCTCACCATTAAAACATAATGGGATGTTGCACCGTCCTGCTGGAACCAGACAGTTCCTGCGGTAGGGTCGGATCTATTGGATTGGGATATAAGCTAGCCAACTGAGGAAGAACATCGTCTCTTAGCATGCTTAAATATTTTTCTTTCGAGAAACCCATTCTACTATCTGGATCGTCTTCTGTTAGCTCCTACAAAAAAGTCAATTTATATGGATGAAGTTTTTCTTCATGGAGACACCTTAGGACAGTCATGTGACTCACATTATTTTGACGTGCAATTTGACATGAACTTGACGTTGGATTCTCTGCGACACTTTCGAACAAAATAGCCACTTTCACCTCATCTTCAATGAAGTTCGGTTTTATTTTTAATGGTTTGACATGTCCAAGTTCTCTGAATTGTGCATGAATTTTAGACACAGCACCTTGTAAAAATATTAGGCAACTAAGGATACCTTTGATTAAATAAGTTTGCTACTTCAACTTGACTTCTACAATTCTCCCCGTAACCGATCATCATTAAAAGCTCAATTCGGTAGATCTCAGTTAAATATTTTATTTTTATTTCTGCAAGAAATTAGCTTTAAATTAGGAATTTATTATATTAATGTAAAGTGTCAACACACCAACAACTGATTGATAAAAATCCGCATTATTTACCGATTTAGTTTAATTAGCAGATTATCTACACAGTTCTTACCTATTCATGACATAAAATGGTAACACGGTTACTAAACAGAAATTTTCCCCAATATACTGACACTTAGAGTAGAAATGTATTATCTGTATTTAGCTAATTTAAAATAATACCATAACACGTGATAAATTATTAGTTTAAAAATTTCGCGTTGTATTATTCATTATACGGGGACAAGGCAGATAATAAAGATTAAAGATAAAAATGGTCATCTTACAACCAACACAGAGAAAACCCTTAAAATAGTTGAAGACTTCTACAAATTGCTGTACACAAGCCAACACAAAGCAAATATCAGGGAAGATCAAGTACCAGAAAGATTAAAGGAAAAAAGGCATTGACAACCAAGGATTAGAACTACTACCGGAAATTACAATGGACGAAATAAAACTAGCCCTAAGAAAAGATAAGAAAAACAAATCTCCAGGCGAAGATAGTTACTGATGCAATCAAAATCGGAGGTACTTGCCTACTTAAGAAAATAAAAATCCTTTTTAACATGTGCCTTTTGGACAGTAATATACCCGACAAATGGCACAATGCTGAAATAATTCTATTGTACAAAAAAGGAGATCCTCATGAATTAGAAAGCTATAGACCTATATAATCTCTTTACAAGAATTGTAACAAATCGTCTTGAGAAAAAACTTGATTTTTACCAGCCAATAGAGCAAGCGGGATTTCGTACCGGATTTGGAACCAATGATTACCTACAGAGCATTAAAAGGGTAATAGAAAGGACAATCGAATACAATCGACCTGTCGGTCTGGCTTTTGTAGATTTCCATAAAGCCTTTGACACGGTAGAATTTGACAAAATCCTGGAACTACTACAAGCATGCCGCATTGACTACCGATATACAAGGTTAATTTACAATACATACAAGAACGCAAAATATGTTGGCGAAACTACATGAAAACACGAATCATATCCCAATCGGCAGAGGAGTCCGACAGGGTGGTACCTTATGGTCTAAACTGTTTACCGCAGTTTCTGAACATTTACGGAAAAGATTAACAAAGTTGAAATTCGCAGACGACATAGTTTTGTTCTCGGACAACGTCAACTAGATATGTACAATGCTACATGAACTTCAGTTAGTGTGCCACTGTGGGTCTTAAAATAAACATCTCCAAACCAAAATTCATGACAAACCTAGTACCTAGCAAAAATATCAATATTGGAGACAACGAAGTAGGGCTCGTGGAAAAATGCATATATCTTGGACACGAAATAAAGATCACAAGAGACAACCAAACATGCGAACTACGAAGAAGAATAAACCTAGCATGGGCAGCTTATAGAAAACTAAAAGATATCATTAAAAGCGATATACCAATTTCTTTAAAACGTAAAACATTTGACCAATGTGTGTTGCCTGTGATGACCTATGGTGCCAAAACTTTAACATTGGCAGCTACAAGTTCTAAAACGCTGCAAATAGCTCAGAGGAAAATGGAAAGGTCAATGCTGAGTATATCGCTTCGTGACCGAGTTAGAAATAAAAACTTAAGATGAAGAACATGAGTTACCGATATAATTTTCCGATTGTCACACTGAAATAGAACTGGGCCGGACACGTTGCACTGAGCACAATGGACAAAAATGAGAGAGGCCTATTTCCAGCAGTTGACGTCAAGGGCTGTGTGGACATAGTTAATTATTTAAAAACTCGCATTTAAATCTGCCGCCCAGTCTGTTCAGGAAGTGACTATTAACGCCACCGAACACCACATAAAAGTTGGTTGAAATATTTTCTATAATATGGCCGCCAGTGACAGAAAGTGATTTTGTGTGTTGTATCCATTTATTTCACACGGTAAGTAAAATTATACTAAAATTGAAGTTATTGAACTAATTGTATACCTAAGTTAGTGTATGGCTTCTGGAATATTTAATTACTACATTTGATATGGAATGAGATAAAATTATTATTTTTCGAAACGTCATTCCATTGTTACTGTCAAACATGGCGTTCGGGGTTAGTGTGGACAAATCATCAGCTGTCCACACTAACCCCACAAATGATTATATTTCCAAAAATAATGTGATAAAAATCGCTTTTTTGTTTCAGATGAGGACTTACAGTAGAAAAACGGCGAGAGCTGATATTGATGAAAAAGTTGTAGAGCGTGCAATAAAGGATATCCTAAGAAAAAAAGGAAGCTTGAGAAATATTGCAAAGAAATACGAATTGAAAAAAAGTATGCTTCACAAAAGAGTCATTTCGGCTAAGAGGAACCTTCAAGATGCTAATATACCCTCTGGTGATGATTCAGGTAACGAAGATGAGTTAGAAATTGTTAGCTTGAATGTTTCTGGCGTCAATAAATTTCGAAGTCGCCAAATATTTTCTGATGAACAAGAACAACATATTGTCAATTATCTTAAGAAGGCGTCTCGATTACATTATGGCTTGACTTACAAGCAGGCTTGTACCCTAGCTTTTGAGTATGGTAGTGCTCTACAAATAGAAATTCCTTCGAATTGGACTAAAAATAAGATAGCAGGAAAGGACTGGATATATTCATTTATGAAACGACATGGTGATTTATCTCTTAGAAAACCTAAAAATACAAGCATAGCACGAGATGCAGCCTTTAACAAATCCAACGTGGATTTATTTTTTGATAATTACATTGGAGTTTTAGATAAATTTAAAGAAAGGCCAGAAAGGATAATAAACAAACGTATAGCTGAAAAGGGAAAAAAACAAATAGGAGCTGTGCAATGTGCGGAACAATGTGCGGAATTATAACAGCCACTGGACAAGCAATACCTCCAGTTTTCATATTCCCCAGGAAGAATATGAAAGACCGGTTCTTAGATGGTGCACCAATAAGGAGCATTGGTCTGGCTCATCAGTCTGGCTATATGACTGCTATATTATTTTTAGAAGAACTAAAGCACATAAAAATGCACTTAAGTGCTTCTAAAGGAAACCCTCTACTGATATTAATGGGTAATCATTCAAGTCATATAAGTTTGGAAGCTATAAACTTAGCTAGAGAATCTGGAATTACTCTTTTATCGTTTTCGCCAAATTGTAGCCACAAACTACAGCCGCTAGATGTTGCAGTATATGGTCCTTATAAAGCTGCATTACGGGTTGCAATGGGAGACTGGCTTCAAAATCATCCAGGCAGACCTATACAAATATATGATGTTGCTCAACTGTGTGGTATTGCTTTTCCTGTGGCATTTACAATGAAGAATATAACATCTGGATTCAGATCTGCTGGTTTATGGCCAATAAATCGTCTTGTATTCACCGATGAGGATTATGAAGCTGCCGAAACAACAGATAGGAATCACGAACCACCAACAGCAATGAACCCAAGAAATCCTGAAGATCCTGAGCGAATATTAGAAGTTGCTTCAATCTCCACAAGACTGCTACCTGTAGCTCCCATTACGCTTTCACCATCAGTAGCAACTACATCAACAGCTGTAATTACTCCTGAGAGCTACCGCCCTTTTCTAAAAGCAGATCGCTCATCTAACTCCAAAGCAAGAAATAATAAAAAGTCGACTATTTACACGAGCACACCAGTTAAAGATCAGTTGGAAGCTGAAAAAGAGGCTAAAGATTTGAAGGAAAGACGTGCGCAAGAAAGAGCTG